GCCCCCCTTCTCTTTTTTTTTTTTTTTTTTTCGGTACGTGGGCCTCTCACTGTTGTGGCCTCTCCCGTTGCGGAGCACAGGCTCCGGACGTGCGCGCTCAGCGGCCGTGGCTCACGGGCCCAGCCGCTCCACGGCATGTGGGATCTTCCCGGACCGGGGCACGAACCCGCGTCCCCTGCATTGGCAGGCGGACTCTCAACCACTGCGCCACCAGGGAAGCCCCCCCTTACTCATTTTTAAATGTTGAGAGGATCAGATAATCTTTCTGTCTCTTCTAAACAAATTTGTAAATTGTAAGGTAGGTACAAATTTAAGAAGCTAATGATTAAGGTTCCAGAGTCAGTTTGCTGGGTTTGAGTCCTTCTACACTTTGCTGCATGACGTCTGTCTGGGCCTCATTTCTGGAAACAGAAATAGTAATAATAGCTCTTTCATGTGATTTTTGTGAAGATTAAACCAGTTGATACATGCAAGGTTTTTGGGATAGAACCTAGCACAAACTAAACTCAATAACTAGCATCAATATTCTATAAATAGTATCTATTATCTATTATTATTACTATGGTCTCCAGCATTTCCCATTGACATTTTATGGGGTCTCAGGTTGGCAGCAAGCTATCTTTTTTTCAGACAATTGATACAGAAACTCAATGCCCCAAGGGCAACTGAGAGTAGCACAATTCTTAAGATACCATTGTAGGTGCAGAGACTGAACCAGAAGACACAGCAGGCTTGAGGAATACATAGCAGAAGCTGGCCAGCTTGCCTCTGGCCCACTCCATTCCCGTTCCTCATTGCCATTTTGATGTGGAAACTGTCTGTTATAAGAGATTGAATGTAGGTCTAGTTATCCCACTGTGTAAGGTTAAAGGGTACCCTGGTTGTATGCTGGGGCAGTAATTTCCATCTTTACGATCTCACATTAATATTAATACTCTAATGTATAACCTATCTGCCAAACTTAGAGTGTGAGAGTTCAGTAATTGTGTAACAGTGTATAGTATTTGAACGTTTACTTCCTCAGACCTTTCCTCTCCATCCCCTGCTAAGCTTTTATTTCAGGTGTGCCAGTCTCCCACCTGGAACTCCTTGTGAACAAAGGCCTTTCCCATCACACCCTTCTGCTCCCTCCACAGGATCCCAGTTGGTGCCTCAGGCAGCCTCCTTCTCCCCTAACGGACCTGGCCCTGGCTTTCCCATTCCCATGTGACATTCCAAAGCTTTCCTCACCTTCCATTTAACCTCCTGAGTTTCCAACTGTCTGTCTATTCTCTGTCCCACTCCTTTTGCTTCATTAATATAGTTAGCTTTTTAACTCTTTATATCCCCTTTCAGAATAGCGCCTTTTTCTGTCCTACCTTGAAATTTCCCATATGCCACATCCTGTTCTTCCCCTCAATCTAAACCCTCCCCAAATCTCATCCTAGATAGGACACTCCTTAAATGTGAGTGGGTTAGGGACTCAATTCTCCTTACTTACTCTGTCCAACTTATGTTTATTAAAAAATTAAAAGGTGGAATAAAATTCACTTCCTTCTTTTATTTTTTTATGTAACCAACAAGTGTTTGTGGAGGTTAACACTGGTCAAGAAAACAGTCATGATTCTCATCACCTGGAGTTCGTAGTCTAATGAAGGGATAGATGTTAACCAGTAAACACAAGTGAATCTATAAATACATAGTGCAGTAAATGCCATGGAAGGAAAAAACACAGAGAAAACGACAGAAAAGGGATATAGGTTAGATTAAGGGGTCAGCAAAGCCCCGCTGAGGAACTGAGTTCTAATGTGACATCTAAAGGATGAGTAGGAGTTGGCTAGGTAAGAAGTAGAGGGAAGAAGCACTCTGGGCTGAGACTGCAGCATGTGCTAAAGCCCTGAGGCAGGAGAGTTGGAAGAACTGGAGGAAGGGAGGTGTGGCTGGAGTTCTGGCAGTGAGGGGGATGATGGTTCAGAGATGGCTAAGTGCATGGAACCACCAAAGAGCTTTCTGCACCTTTCCTTCTGCAGGTATTTAAAATGAATGTGTCATAGCCAAGCGTGAGATTATCAGTTTAAAAAGCCAGACTGTTGTGTGCCAATATCTGATCATTTTGAATAAGCCAACGTCACTAATTTAAAATGACACTGAGTTAAAATAAAAACACAGTCATTTATTCCTGAGAATGTTTGGTTTTAATAAAACAAGAGCATTTTACTTAAAATGAGAAAAAAAATCTAGATCACAAGCCAAGAGGGTCCTAGGTGATTGTAGTTGGCTACCCTCCTTGTTGGGTTGAGTGAGAGCGTATGTTTGTGAGCATGAACTGTAGTACATTCAGTTACTAATTTGATACCACACCTAAAGGCTTTGCCAGACACTTCTCTAGAACAGGCTGGGAGCCAAAAAGCAAAGAGAACATAGCATGGGAACTCTTTAAATTGTAGAGTGTGTCCAATTTAGACTTGATTGATTCCTTAATTCTGACAGCTGAGGAAATGAGAGAGCATCACTTAGCCTTCCATTTACCATTTGTTGCAGTTATATTGTGAGTTTTACATTTTCAAAGTTTTTAACATTTGCAGTTTTGAACTGTAAACATAATTCTCACAGTTCATTCAATCGAGTGCCCTTTATGTACTAGGCACTGTTCTAAGCACTGAGATTACAGCAGTGAACAAATCTGAAACAGGTCCTGTCCTCACAGAGCTTCTATTTAATAGTGGAGAACATATTTTATATATATATGTTAATGTCAGGAAGTGATAAATGTTAAGAATAAAAGTAAAACGCAGTAGGACACTGGAGGGTGATGAGAGAGGGTTACTTTTTTAAAAAATGGAAGTATAGTTGATTTATACTGTTGTGTTAATTGCTGCTGTACAGCAAAGTGACTCAGTTATACATATATATATATTCTTTTCAATATTCTTTTCCATTATGTTTTATCACAGGACACTGAATATAGTTCCCTGTGCTGTACAGCAGGACCTTGTTGTTTATCCATTCTACATATAATAGTTTGCATTTGCTAACCCCAAACTCCCAATCCATCCCTTCCCACCCCCAAGGGAGGGTTACTTTTGATAGAGTAGTCAGGAAACACGTTTCTGAGTTGGTGAATTTGAGAGTTTGGATAGAGACTTGAACAAACTGAGGGGGTGACCCATTGCAGAAGAAGAGCAGTTGCAAACGTCCTGAGGCAGGAATATGCTTTGTGGGCTTAGTTTTCATCTTGGATCTAAATGGAGTCCAGGTCACCACCAGCCCTTTCACCAATGGCCCCCTCTTTCCTGTTGATTTAGTGTTCAGTTTGAAGGTTTTGTTTTCAAGTGGAGCCCAAGGATGTTATATTCTGAATGCCTTTCTGTTGCTTTTATGAACAAACAAATTGAATGCGTATAAAATTA